TTTCTGCTGTTAGGAAAGAAAAGTGATGAGGACTTGGTCAACAAACGTTTTCTATTAGGAAAGAAAAGTGATGAGGACTTGGTCAACAAACGTTTTCTGCTGTTAGGAAAGAAAAGTGATGAGGACTTGGTCAACAAACGTTTTCTATTAGGAAAGAAAAGTGATGAGGACTTGGTCAACAAACGTTTTCTGCTGTTAGGAAAGAAAAGTGATGAGGACTTGGTCAACAAACGCTTTCTGTTAGGGAAGAAACGTGAGGAGCAGGAAACCCTAAAGGATCCCTCAGACGAAGAGGAGAAGGGAGAGCAACAAGAAGGGGAGAATTTAACTCCTGAAGGACAGGAGGAGGAGGAGGAGGAGGAGGTACAGCTTACCCCGGAGGAGGAGGAAGAGTTGGAGGATGCCATAGAGGAAGAGCTGGCGGAAGAAGCTGTCGCCCAGGTTATACTGGAAGCTGCAATCGAGGACAGCGTCCTTGAGGAGTGACGTCACTGGAAGTGTTGGTCGCCGGCGAGAAACACAACCACGAGGGGAAACAATGACCGGTGACCTGAGATCTGTGATCTGTGACCTGTGACCTGTGACCTGTGACCTGTGACCTGTGACCTGTGACCTGTGACCTGTGACCTGTGACCTGTGACCTGTGACCTGTGTTATGTTTTTGCGGCATCCAGGTGAAATCAGTAACGACATCTGAGAAAAAACTCGACATTTATTCGTCCCTCCTGAAATTGTAAAAAGTCGAATTTCTTTCTTTTTTTTAAAAATTGGCCTCATCACCTGTTATGTCTGTTTAAGAGTACATAAATCTATGTCTGGGTTTTAATTAAAAGCGTTCACCAAAGTCCACCCTCACCCCTCTCTCGAAAATTTGCTGTTCCAAGGTCACTCAAACTTTGGAAGCCATCAGACTTTAGCTGCCGTTATCTCGCTAGGTCTTTTTTTTCTTCTTCTGATACCACCTCTTTCAATCAATAACATCTTAACGTCTGTTCAAGATAGACGGGTATTTTTTCATCAGAAGCTGGATTAATGAACGGGCTTTAAGATGATACCAATAACGTCTTTTGCCCAAAAATTGACGAGAGCCTGATTCCACCATGTCGTACCACATATTATTCTAAAAGTGCGTTTCTATTACTCGATACAAAGAGTCAATAAAAAACCCAGCATACACTCATGAGACTCGTGTCCTTTCTTACCCTTTCAACCGTACCTCCCACTCTCTTAATAAATAGACCTGGGATGTGTTCTCTGTTTAAGTTATAGACTCCTTTAAGTTGTGACAATCAAAGTTTATTTTTTTAAAGATTAAATAAATGTGTTTCTGTTATGGAGACTATTATATGGAATATGCAAAAGTATGCTTAGTGATATATACTGATGAGAAAATAGTCTATGTCACCTTTTTTTCAAGTCTGTATTTTACGGCACTTAAAACACAATCATATCATACAAGTGCCGAAGATAAGAGATGTAACAAGAGAGAAACAATCACAAAAAGAAGGAGGAGAGATCAGAACGATATATTTTTTTTTGTAGGAAAGAAGGAGGAAACTACACCAAAGCACACACCAACCACCAACAAGCTCATGTAATTGTCAAAAATATGCTCAAAGATACCTACCGTAGAGAAAAAAGAAGGTCTGTGGTGTCACCAGCAGAAGATAGTCTCTCTCTCTCTCTCTCTCTCTCTCTC